AATATAGATATTATTATAAGAATTATACTGTTACAGTATAATTGTAAAGATATATAACTATATAATTATTTATTTTTCCGCATATATATTACTATACGAATATATAATTATTTGTGCTTACAGTACAATAAATAATAAAATATAAGTACAAATATTATTATAAGAATTATACTGTTACAGTATTATTGTAAGGATATGTATCTATATAGTTATTAATTTTTCTGCATATATTAAGTTATATGGTAATAGGTATATAATTATTAATTTAATAAAATTTTATATATTTCGCAATTATCAAATCATTAGCCAATAATAATCGAGTATACTTTACCAAAATACCAAAAATACCATATTACAAAAATAAAGAAAGAATCGTCCATTTTACAAGCATTCACTCACAGATGCACACTACTCGAACTATTCTTGCCTGCAATTTAACGAATCGACGAATCTTCGTTTCCCAAAACCCTTCAAGCAGAGTAGCCCAACTGAGCATTTCAGGGATTTCAGAGATTCCAGAAATTTCCGAGATTTTAGAGATTTCGCGAGTACCGTATTTATCGAGAAATGGTAGCTTTCACGTGCATTAAAGCATTAACGGAAATCCCAAAAGCTTCCCACGAGCAAGTCCGATCGGGGCTATCTCGAAATCGCTATTTAGCGTGGATTACGGTAGCAGACCTAGTATACCTCTATCTCCTCGCGATATTCCATCGATAAATGGAATTCGTTGTTACGTATTAGCCGGATAGTTGTGCACGTGGATGGCCACATCGCGATTTCGTTCGCCCAACGATGCATTATGGGGTTAGAGCGGTTTAACGCGTTAAACGAAGGAAGTCGAAGAAGTTCAATGGTGGACCAGGCCTGATTGGTCAATTAGCCAACGCATAAGGATGTTATGAATTACTTGCCGGGACGTGGTTAATTGGTTTTTTGTTGAAACGAAGAAATGACGTGGGAGAAAAGATCAAGGAAAACATAATTAGCCGGGTGAATACTTGGACTGTGACGTCACTGGTTTAATGATTTTGTTGAAATTTTATTTAGGTGCTATTTCAATTCGCTTTTACGATTTTTCGGGTGATAGAGATTAACAGAGATTAACGATGTGTGTTTATTGTGAGAGTGGGAGTAAGAGGATTAGGGGATGTGTAGTAGTGGGTAAATTTAGTTCCATTTTGTTTAGATGACGTTGAAGATATGGAATATGAATGAAGTAGTATATTTGGAAAACGTTTGTGTAGATATTGTTTGAATATTTAGATACTTGGATGAAAGTCAAATATTATGTATATTTAGAAATTGGAGAGCTGTATATACTCAAGAGAAAGATTGGAAATTTGTTTATTAACTTTTGAAGTCTCGTGTGGATATTTATTTGCAAATTCGTGCAGATTAAATTAAAGAAATTATTATAAATATATCTCAAAAATGTTATACAATTGATATGTAATATTCCTATTAAAAATTTCAAGGTAGTTTCTCAAATTCCACATTATGTTTGTATCCTCTTTCATACATTATATTTGACTGTATGTAAAGACACAAAACTATACTTATGAAACAAAAATAGGAAATCAAAATTTAACATTTTAATATAGCACTATCTAAATTTATTTCAATTTCACAATCTTTTACGAAAAGATTCTGAATACTTAGCCAAAAGAAAAGATGAAAGAAATTATTTGTTCAATTACATAATTATTTTTATGTACAGGGTGGACTGCTTAACGTAATTATTTCTTTTATTTTCGCCAAATTAAATTTTTCTGTTTTTAATAAAATAATTAAATGTTATCTTATCGTCGATATTTTATTATTTACGACAAAATAATTCTTTATTTTCTAATAATTAATTGAAAATAACTAAGGTGATCACGTTAATGTTCCACCCTGTATATCACAATGTAAAATCATTTTTAAAAAATATATAACCATGGCTAGTCTCTATGGAGAAGTTTAGAAATTCATGACCCATTTTCATCCAAGCCACTCAAGCAACTCCAATTTTAGCTGAGTACTCTATTAATAATGCTAAATAATTCAAACACACGTTATTTCTTACAAATCTCTTGGATAAAAGTCAGAAATCAAGAATAACAATATTTTTTCTTCCAGTGTAATTATTACACAAATTTCACTTTTACATTTAGTGTATTCGATAATTTATTAAGAATCACCATAAAAAATTCGATGAAATTTAATTTCTTACATCTCAAGAGAATACGTTCAAGATGTATAAAAAATTCATCTGAATGGAAACATCCAGAGAGCACGAAAAATTAAGTAAGAGGCAAGAGGGGAAACTCACTAGGGAAAACAAAAATTGGAAAAAATAATTCTACATATGAAAATACAATATATAAAAATTCATATATGACGCTGACTACACTAACAGAATTCCATTCTGTAAAAAACCACACTAAATTACTCCACAAAAATGAACAACAAAAAGATCAATAACATCCTAGAAATATTCTTGCAAATTCGCATTAAGGGAACTCGAATCCAAACAACTTTCAAATAACTGCACATCCATCCTGTCTCTAATAATACATCCGCGTGAAAACTTCCTTCTTATGCAATTCGATCAAACGAGCCAACTCGATTGTTTATAGTTCGAAACGAATTACGCGAAAGCGGTGTCGAAGACAGTAAAAGACGGTTTACCTTCGTCTGATCTCGTATCCCTTTTCGTACGAGTAATCGAGCGTGTTCGAGGGTAGACCGAGACACAGCGACCGGGCACGAACAAAGCCGAAAGGAGTCGAAAGAAGGCGAAAAAAAACGAACGCACACGCTCCTTTTCCCAGGATATAACCCCTCGTGAAAGGGCCGGCTGGATCATTAGCGCGAAATAACTCTAGGTCGACGTGCGCGCCACACCGCGGGAACAGCGGGTAAATAGTCGTGCATTCTACAAAGGACTGGCCGTTTATATTTAGCGGTTTGGTGCGGTCGTGCACTCTCGCACATTTTCGGTCTTTTTGGAAAAGCTTCCGCCACGGAACGTTCAAAATATACCTCGAGACGAGGGGCAAGTACTCGCCTACTCTGTGGATCATAGCATGCGTTTCGATCTGAACGTTGGTACCCCTTTTTCCTTATTTATTTCTTTTTATTTATTTCTCCCTCTTCTTATTCTCCTCGCTGCGTTATCTGGCATCGTTGGTCTTCGAAATGTAAATATTTTGAATTCTACAGATGAAGATGGAGAATGATGAGTCGTAGGGGTCTTTTGGAGGAAGATTTACTATACCAGGCAAGTTGCGTGAATTTTTATCGCACGCTTTATCGCGATAGTTGCGTAAATATAGGGTGAAGAGGTTTTAGTTTCTTTTTCGATTTAGTGGAATACTTTCTTGGTGCTTAATGAACATTTTTTCTTTATTCTAGTGAATCAAACGGATTGGATAATATTTCTTTTATCCTAATGGATTATAGTATTTGGATTGAAATATTGTATGTAAATACAGGTGAGTACTTCAATTAATACTGTATTCCGTTGGGATCTAATATACATATTTGTGTGTATATTTAGGGTGAAGCTCTAGAGATTCATGAAGAACGTTTTATTTAATTATGAAACATACTTTCAGCAATTTGGAAAGCTATTAAATTTTTATTCTGACGTCCCTATATCTATTACAATTTTTTAAATATATTATTCTTTAAGAATTGCTTCCAAAACATAGAAGAATATAGAAAAGCATATATGCACCACCACATTAACTTTAAAAAATATTTAAAAAATCCTTATTAACTTCTAAAGAGTTTTTCAAAATATATAGGAAAATAGCAAAATACATTAACCTCCAAGGCTTTCTTTTTTGATTTCACTCTGACGAAATAAAAAATTAAATAAATAATAAAATAATACGAGTAACTTGAAATCTGCAAGAAAAATAACAGTAAAAATTCTAATAAATGACCCAAAGAATAAAAAATCAATTCAATAATGAAAAAAAACTATTATCTCACAGTATCAGATAAAGTCATATATATTAAAAACTGTTTTTATAAATAAGAAGTTAGTAAAAAATAAAATAATTCGAGTAATCTGAAATCTGTTAGAAAATTAACAATAAAAATCCTAATAAATGATCGAAAGAATAAAAGAACAATTTAGTAACGAAAAAAAACTCTATCATTTTACAGCACTAGGTAAACTCGCGTTTCCTCGATCCAGATCACTCGAAAAGCCGCGTGTTTCCAACAAAACGAGTTTCTCTCGTGCACCTCCGCAGCGAAACAGCTCTATCTGCATTCCAGCCTTAGCTTCGCAGCAATGAATTAACAAAATTGACGGCATTGCGTAACAGCCGATAAATCCGAGCGATCCTAGCTTGCGATTCCGGCAAGAGTCCTGGTGCAATTACACCAACTGATCGCGCCGACGATCTACACAGCTGCTATGAACAGTAATTCCATCTACTCTGATGGAACATCGTCTATAAGACGCATATCCTAAATCCGCGATTTTCTTCTTCATACCACGATACGTATAAACTAATTATGCAAATTCTATTATATATAAAAAATGTATTATATTTTTCAGCATGACGTGGAACTTTCTAAAATTAATTTATAAACATTACAAGGAAAATAAAATATTTTAACTAGTACAGTACATAGAGATAGAAGACAACTATATAATATTTATTTAACACATTAACATAAAAATCTCTGATAATATATACCTTGTTTCGCTAAATGAAGCTGTCGATTTCTCTCAATTTCCTTGAGGGATTCTATAGTCTTCCTTCCCAAGCTGCCCTGATTGTTTACAATGGGAGAGTCAGTGGTGACCCTGGAGATCCTGTCGAAGTCTTCCCTGCTCGGAGATCGTTTCTCGTCGCTGTTCTCGCAAGAATTTTGCGCCAACTTTGTCAGTTCATCGTTGATCGCTCTAACTCGGTTTCGACCCTATAGCGATAAGATAAACACGATCATACAATAATCAGGAAAATGGCAAATATTAAATATCAAATACAGACTATATATGATCTATATTCGAAATTTACTAACTTCTTCCAACCGTTTCAAATGCGTCAACTTCTGTCTTTCGAGGCTTCTTGCATCTTTAGTCGCAGTGCTTTTCGCTTCAGATCTCTGAGATTCCAAGTGGCTCAACCGAGCCTTCCTGGTTTCTATCTTGGTCGTCAGTTCACTTAAGTATCTGGAACAAGTATTTAGATTGTAAAATTTACGTTGAACATTGCATTACTACGTAACCAATATGCTTTAATATATTACAATTCATATTACACTCGACAAAGTTCATACACAATCTCTTTCTCTGCATCCTGGATTATTCTTCATAAAGAGAAGCTAATCAAAAAAAGTGGGTTTGGAAAAAAAGAATTATAAGAAAAATATATGTAAAATTAATACAATATAATTAAGAAAATTTTTCAAAGCTATTTCTTATACCCAAATAATTTTGGTAATCATACATATATATGTATTAAAAATAAATACAACTTCTCCAAAATATTATAATTACAAATATTTTCAATACTAAACTCCCAAAATTAAATCCAAAAAGTTATTTGTATGTGCGTGTCAAATTACACTGACAAAAATGATTATAAAATGATATATGAAGACCAGAATGCAGAGCCAACAAGGATTTGTTGGGATTTAACAGTATAACCGTGCACAAAATAGTATTACCTTTGTAATTCTTCCCTGGTCGCCAGTTTGCTGGCCTCCTCTTCGAGATGATGGAATTCCAAATCCTCAAAAGCCTTTCTTTCCGACTCGAGGACGTCTTGTTGAGCCATAAGCTTCTCGCCGATATCCTGTTGCATGGCTTCGTCCGTGCAAATCGCCAGCTCTTCCTCCAAACGACTGCAAGCATGCTGGGCCCTTTGCACTCTCTGCTTCGCTTCCGCTTGTAAATTCGCCTGGCTTATGTTATCCTCGGCCATCTGTCTCTCGAGTTCGTTTATCCGCATCTGTACCTTTATCTTCTCACCCTCGTCCTGACTAAGCTTCAACGACTCCGATTCGTACTCTGCAGACAGCAGTGCTTTCTCTAATTCGAGCTGTTACACAAAACAAAAGTTCAAACACGGTTAGAAAATTAATAAAACTCGAGACATACCGTGGAAGAAACAACAGTATTGATCCTATAATAACCTGCTCTAAATTCTGTTCAAGAAATCTGATCTTAGAAAACAGGGGAACGAGATTTTTCATGTTTATTCGTTTCTACCGTTTAGAATCTAGTATTTGGAAATGCTCGATGCACGAATGGTCAAACACGACTGAACAGTCTCGTACGAGACACGAAAGGTAGAGCCTTATCGTGAACTGCAGAAAGGTAAATAAAATTTAACTCGAAGACAGACTCAGATAAGAGGATAAGATTCGACTTGTCGATTATCCTTACCATCGAATGCATTCCCATCTCTGAGCTTAAAATCACTCTCGCTTTTCGATATAACCTAGTATCGCGGAAAATATTAAGGTCTCCTAACAATATTCGTTGTCTACTACTCTAAATCTAACATAGAATCCGTTGTCTATCATCCAGTACAGAAAGGTGAAGTCATATCACCAACCTCCCTGCTAATCTCCTCTTCCTGGATCTCAATGTCAGCCACGCTCCTCTTCAATGCATCCATATTACTAAGGATATGCAGCTTCTCATTCTGGAGGAACTCTATATACTTCTTTCTGTCTTCCTGTTCCAGCTCCTTCCTCTCTTTGTCAGCCTTAGCCTCGTTCGATTTCGCGTTGTCCTTCTCAGAATTGTTCTTCTTGGGAATCGTGCAAATTTCTTTGGATTTGGAAAGCATGGAAAGCTGCTCGATAGCCTCTAGAAGGTCGTCGTTTGATATAGCCAGCTTGTTCTCTATCATGTCGCAGGAGTTTGACAGCTGGCCATTTTTCTTTGGCATGGAATGATTGTTTTGATTGTTGTTCTGCACTGAGTTGATCACCACGTTCTCGTACAGACTCACATTCCCGTTCATCGAACTGTCGTAGTTTCGAGAATGCTTATTCTGTTGCCCATTGATCCTCGTCCCATTTAGCTGGATCGTTCCGTAGGTATCCTTCGTTGGGTCGATTAGCTGTGTGTAACTGCCACTGTTGTTGTTGTACATCGAACCCTCGATCATCGTATTCTCGTAACCAGAGCTACGAGCTTGCGAGATCGAGCCTGAAAAGCTATGTTCCCCGTTGCCAAGAACGTTTGGCCACATCGTTGGTTGGCTATTGTTATTGTTGTTTGGCGTGATCGATTGCGAGTGATCCTGCATGTTCACAGTTTGGTTCTCCGGATGATTTGTCGTTTGGTTTCGACGGTTATTGGGTGAGTTGCCGTTTTGGAATACGACTTTCGAATTTTGCACGCAGACGTTCTCGTATGACGCTGAGTTTGACTGTTTGGCAGTGTCGAAGGAAAAGTGCGGTTGGTTCTTCGATGGACTCTTCGGGCTGTCGAAGGGTGAATTGTAGCCAAGTCGTTTGTCTCGTGGTAGCGAGCCATTCGTTTTGATCCTGTGCAGGGAAATAAAAATATTAGGAATTTTAAGGTTCGAGCTAGTTGCATAATTATTAAATTTTTCTCTATTATACTTCAATTATATCCATAATTCCAGTATGGATATATTGAACTCTGAAGTTATCTACTATATCTATAAGATTGCTATTCTGAAGTACATAATTATTTTTGTGGTGAAATAAAGATCAGTGTATTTATAAATTATTTTCTCTCGTCTGTTTTTAGATAAGTGTAATAAAATTGCTTTTTCTAGACATCATCTTATGTAAAAGAGCAAAATTAAAGTATTGCGATTTAATATACTTTTCTACATAATTTAATTTAAAGCATGAAATTAAAAATTTGTCTATATTTTGATATAACTTTCATATATCTTATTATTAAATATTATATTTATATCTCTACAGTTGATAATTTTTTCACTCGTCCAAACTAAAAGTGGATATAACAGGAATATACTCAAAGCTGCATTTTATAGTCGGCTATCATTGCCAAAAAGATATCAATATAATATTTGTTTAAAAACACCAGATACTTATAAATAATGATCATTTGTCTCATATTATAATATAAATACTTTAACAGGACGTTTAAATTCATTTTTACTTTGTATAATTCCTACAAATTCACCAGCAACTTATAAAAGCAAATAATTTTATGCAAACGACAATCAATCACAGTTTACGAGAAGACTTATAAAATTAAGAAAATAATTCCGCCACAGGACGAGGAAAATATACAATCTCTCAAGGAGAATTTAATCACTCAACTTCCTATTTACCTCCAACCAAAATACACGAGTACTCTTGCATAAAAATAGAATAGGAAAAACTGGACAGGCCTGAGGTTCCTACACAACGTACACTACACAACGCAACTACAATCGTGGACGACGTATCAAAAGAGGACGGCAAACGCTGCGTGTCAAGCTCCAACCTTCTCGCATGCAAATAACCCATTCACCTGTTAGGTTGCCTCGGCTTCTCCACAGTGCTCTGCCTCTCGTACTCGGCGCACATGGCAAGGATCTCCTCGAGCCTCATTTTCTCCTGCCTCTCGACCTCCTGCTCGCGTAGCCTCTCCTCTTGCGCCTGTTTCCTCTTGTTCTCCGCCTCTCGCCGCTTATTCTCCGCGTCAATCTGTCTCTCCCTCAGCTCCTCCAGCGAGCAACCGCTTCCGGTGCTAGGAGTCGGGCTCTTCACCCGTCCAAAGCCTCTCTTTGGCTCGTTGTACTTCGGATTGCGATTGAACGCTGGACTGGGCGGCTGTATCCTCTTGATATTGGGATTCGAGCCGAAACCCGGGGTCCCGGACACATTCCTCAAGCTGCCGCCGCAAAAGTTCCCATTGTTCGGGCTGTTACAGATGTTAGGGTTCGAGCCGAACTTCTCCAACTGAAGGTACTCTGTCGTCGTGGTCTTGGTGACTATCAAGCTTTGGCTCATGTCAAAATCCCTTGGAGTCAATTCGTCTAGGTCGTTCGCCCTTTGGCAGTTGAAGCTTCGCGACATTAGGTCTCCCTGATTCACGTTGTTCTTCGACATCATCAGATTGTGGGGACCCTGGCTGTTCTCGTTGTTGGTATCTCGATAATAGGGCTTGTAGGTTTTCAGGTAGGACTCAGCGGTCGAGTACATCTGGATCTGATTATGATTCGGCGTCGACGTGTTCTGGTACTGAAGGTTAGGCGTGTTGGACCTACTGGGTGTCCTCATATCTGACCTCTGACGACTCTCGTCGCTACAGTAGTTAGGGGAGGAAGAGGCGAAACAGGTGGCTGGAGAGGACGAATTGAGGAAATGGGCTGGTGATGATGAATTGAAAGACGGTGTGTTCGAACGACTTCTTTCTAGGTTTGTTAAATTTTGTAACAGCGAACTGTTGTTGCCATTTTTTAGGGAGATCAAGCTGGAGGATCTCGAGTGTCCGAGAATTTGATCGGCAGGTACGTTAGTGGTAATGGCACCTGCTGGGAATACTTTTGGAGAAACGCAGTTGTTTCTGTTTTGCTTCGCCAGCATCTCGAATTTCGTTAATTTTCCGAGGAAACCGATTTCGTCGTCTGAGCAGGAATTTCTTGGCGATTTTCGTGGCGCTACCGGTGGCTTCCTTTCCAGATGATAGTTCTCCTGGAGCTGGTTGTCCGGTAAGGAGAAGCTTATGGGTGCCATGGAGATTCTCGAGTGTGGCAGTACTGAACGCAATTGTTTCGCCTCGGCTGGATGATTAAAGCGCATGTAGTTCGATCTACCGATCGACAGCATGCAACCTGAAACGTTAAGCTTACATGTAACATCATTTGAAGACGTTTTCAGCTTTGGTTTTCTTTTTGGAAAACGAATTTGGAAATTAATTTTTTCAATCCAAACATCTAGGTATCTATATCTCTATAGACAAGTAAAATTTGAAATATAGCTTTTGCAAAACCTGGTAAAATATCTTATAAAATTACATATGGGAAAATATTCTCAAGAAAATATTTAAAACACCAATTGCTGTCCTGAATATAATGAATAATAATATTATACAATATCATATAATAATGTACAAAAAGTAAAATATTCTTCTCTAATAAAATTTTATTGAAATACCACATTGAAAAGAATGCATTAAAAAATTGGTGTATTTTTATAGCCACAAATATAGAAATTAAAATACTCTTATGGCTAGAAAGTAAAATGGCAACGGGACGAAATTGCGCGATATTTCGCGAGGAAGTCCACCGTAGATTGAAATCTCAAGTACGAATTTTAACATCGCTAGCGTGTCAAAAACGTGAAATTCAATTTTGGAGAAATAAATTGGCTGAGTAGCACCTTTGTGAAAATTTGTACTTGGCCATTCGTATCTGAGTCAAGGTCTTACCTTGAGCGAGTCTCACTGGCGAATTTATTGGTACGCCATCGACTGCCGTGCTTCCATTTATGGGGTGAAGAGTGACCACGCCGTTATTGTTTTCAATCGCGCAATGAATGGACTCGACCCCAGTACCAACGACAGAAATGTCCGCATCTCGATTCGATCCAAGGGTTAATTTACCTGGAAAGAGAAAAAATATACTCCTATTATATTTATAAAATAAATATACATAATTTAAAAAAACAAAATATATCTTTTATATCGAATTCTACCGATTAAAAGTTATCCAAGTGTATATTCCAAAAATGGGGTATACTATACTTCAAAAATAAATTCTTTTATAAAAATATAGTAAAATATGGAAAAAGAATAAAACCAATTATATAAAATTCACATAAACTTACAGTCATTTATAAGTTCTTACTTTGTTATATAAACTTTATATTAAAAAGAAATTATTTTATGAAAATTTGGTAAAATATGGTGAAAGAGAAAACCAATTATATAATATTCACATAAACTTACGGCCATTTATAATTTTTAATTTTTGTTAGATATATTCTACGTCAAAAAGGAATTCTTTTATGAAAATTTGGTAAAATATAAAAAAGAAGAAAACCAATTATATAATATTCACATAAACTTACAGTCATTTATAATTTTTTACTTTGTTATATAGATTTTACATTAAAAATGAATTATTTTACGAAAATTTGCTATAATATAGAGAAGGAGAAAACCAATTATATAATATTCACATAAACTTACAGCCATTTATAATTTTTAATTCTTGTTATATACATTCTACGTCAAAAAGGAATTCTTTTACAAAAATTTGGTAAAATACGAAAAAGACAAAAAAGAAAACTTGTTTAAAATACACAAAAACCCGCAGTCATTTATAATTTTCTTTCCCCCCAAAAAGAACCTTTGTAAACACTTTCCAATGCACAGTGATCGATGGAGACGAAGAGGTCTCAAAATAAAAAGGATAAAATGACGATTTTGAAGAATGATCGAAAGTATGTCGAATCACGTGTCCACCTAATGATCAACTTTTCACGAAGACAAGTTATTCGAGGGATCCTCGAGCACGATGATCGAATAGATCGAGGTCTGGAGAGCATGTGACGAAAATAAGCTGGAGTACAGCGCGTGCACTACATCTGAGAATAATGTGGTAACTCGGTTTTCGAGAAACCGAGATGCGATTTTAACTATTATTCTAGATGGCAAGGGAACCGGTGCCAGCCGGATACGAAACGAAAGACACTAACTTGGAACGAAAGCATTTGCGGAACTGTGTTTGTACACACTTTCATCTTCGTAATTAACGGTCTTGGCTTCCAAATGGCTACCTGTACAGGCTGTGTCAAAGTAACTGTCACGAGATGTTTTCTCTTAGACAAGTGTAGATGTGTGCTATAGATACTTAGCATGGATACTTCGATTTTCTTTTTTTCCTCCTAATTGGGAGAGAAAGGCTAAACAGTTAGTATGAAATATGGTTTTCACGAGTTCTTACTGGGAGAATATTTTATTTGCTTTGGTAGTACCATGCTTCTTATTTCCTGAGTTTCTTCCTATAGACTGATCTCATGGAATATCTCTGGATAATATTCTTCCTCCATTTTGTACAGTATTACAACAAAATTGTATAAATAAACTACTCTATTGCTCTATCGTGAGATCAGGTCTTGAATATGCCTCCACAATATGGTCTCCTAATCTTATTAAATATAAAATTAGCATAGAAAAAATTCAACATAAATTTCTGAGGTTTGCAGCTTATAAATCCGGGTACAGAATGGACTTTACCGATCACGATCATGAACCAATCTTAACCCTTTGAGCGCTATGAAAGCATATATGGGTCCTCACACAACCATTCAATCTGGACTATGAACGCTGTATAGTTTTATAAAATAAGAATAAAATTAGAAATTTCAGTCAGCGCTCAAAGGGTTAACCCTTTGCACTTGAGAGGTGACCCTCAGTCGCCATTTAATCAGATTCTACAGATTGTTATTAATTAATATCTCGAATTTAAAACTGCCCAATAACGCGTGGAATATCCAGAAAAATTGAGTAAAAAATTAAGACCACATGTGCTACCGTTCTTCTTAGTTCTCTTCGCCAAAAATTGCAAGCTTTATTGCGATGGTCAGTTTTTCCTTTTCTTTTTTTCTTCGAAAAATTGCTACTATATTCATCCAACTATACCCACCCGTCGTGTGTGGATAGTATCTCGTCCCCGGTGACTATAATCACCCGTAGTAGCGAAAGGGTTAAATCTGTAAATGTACACTATTGGGGCTGCCCGTTAATTATATATAAATAAATAAATAAATAAAATTATAGCAAAGAGCATATTTCATAGAAGAAAATTTACAAAAGGCCTACTAAACTATAAAATGTCGAATATTCACGTACACTATATTTTTATTAATTAATATAATTGGAAAAGTATAATGAAATTTTCAAAAGAAATTTTAAAGTATCGAGTATTTTTATGTGGCATTTTATTTTCTACTGCGCATAAAATTAACGAGGTACGGTGAGGAATACCTTTCTCAGAAGAAATTTTAAGATCTCTAAATAACATTCCGATTCGAGAGTCGCTTTATTAAATGTCCATTGTTCTTGGAGCATTGTAGTCGCTAGATTTCTTTTTATGGATTAACATGAAACGTTAAGCGATGACCATTGCCTCTACGACAAAGGGAGATATGAAAATAAGAATGCATTCTGCTTATTCATCGGTTGCCATGCTAATTTTATTAGATATTCGAAGCAATACTCGTGGCACGCTTAATGAGCGATTAAAAATTCAATCGT